TTGTGCTCCAATGAGCTCCCACGGCCAACTCAGACGATCCTGAGCGAGTTGTTGGTCTCTAGAGCAACTGAGGCATCTCCAACCCCTTCTTCCTGAAGAAGAGGAGTCCGTGAGAATCCCCTGAAGCTTTTGACTTGGCTGGATTATGGACTTACGCCCACGTTTGAGGTAATCATCTCCTCCTCCCTCCTTGATCTCAACTTTGAAACTTTAGAGGCAGTTCCTAGATCTAACGACCAAATGCTTAGTGTAGAACCTTCCCCTTGCTTAGATGATTTTTTTGGATCGATCAGGGAGGAGATCCAACCATTGGATCATTCAAATCATTTGAAACTGTGAATGGACGATCGTTATTCTCTGCTTGGGGTTCAGGGACGATCACAACCGTCCGTTTGTACTGTTTGGAACGGATAACTATGATCTAGTCGTAGCAGCGAACTTTTCAACCTTTGGTCCCACCGTTTAAATCATGGAGGCAATGGCTGGCCGCCATGTGTAAAGTTCTGTCGTGTCATCTGTCATGGTGGTATCAAATGCGGGGCCCATTTCAATGTTTTTACTTATTATTTAAAATTTAAATAAATAATTGAAAATTCAAAAATCATTAAAAATAAAAGAAAAATTAAAAAAAAGAAAAGAAAAGTAGGAAGTGCTCATCTCACTAAAGCTTTTCCTTGGAAAAAAATAAAAACCTCAAGTCTTCATTCATGACTTTGATTCTCCAGCTCTTTAGCCCTCCATGCCAAAGGGTATGACAAGCCACTCTACTCATCTAAGCTTTGGCCGAAACCCCCAATGGTGTGATGGACTTGGCACAGAACGACATAATGCTTGCTGGCCCGACAAACATGCGCTCAACCAATTTGCCTTAGGCACAACTTGCTTTCAAAGACTCAATGGTTCGTAGGATTCTACAATTTACGCCGGGTATTACATTTCACTATACTCCCCAACAGTCTAAGAGTCGAGATATCAATTTTTTAGAGTTATGTCAATACGTGTGATGAGCAGCACCGCTCTACACCACGAAGCCTCGACGCAAGGCTCATGTTTTTTTATTGTTCCCTTGGCATTAAGCTACACTTGTTTGGAGTTCCAATTGTCCTTCATCGTAGCTCCCTCCAAAGGATGGGAGCGATAAATGGGATGGTTGTAGCCCCCTTCAAAGGATGGGGGTGATAAATGAGATGGTTGTTTACGATAACGATTGTCGCCGCTTATTTCACAGGTTCTCAAAATCACTTGATATATTCTAGTCTTGACAATGATCCTTCCACAAGTTCATCTAT